GTAAGCTGCTGAAGAGCCTCTATGGGCTGAAGCAGTCGCCACTAATGTGGTACAGGGCTCTCGACGGTGTGCTGCTGGGCGCTGGCTGGAAGAAGAGCCAGGTCGACGAGGCGCTCTACTTCAAGGCCAGCGATGAGGGAGTAACCTGCTGGGTGCTGGTCTACGTCGACGACCTGCTCGCCGCCAGCAGCAGCACCACGATGCTGAAGGAGCTAAAAGAGCTGCTGGAGACCGCCTTCGAGCTACGTGAGATCTCGCCGGTGGTGAAGTACCTTGGGCTGGAGATTGTGCGCGACAGGCCGGCCAGGAAGCTGTGGCTGCACCAGCAGGGCTACATCGACAAGCTGCGCAGGCGCTTCATCGACGAGGAGCAGGGCGGTCGAGTCCCGAAGACGCCAGTCTCGGTTGACGCCTACGCTCAGCTGACGTTCGACGACGAGGAGGCTCAAGAGCGCGAGGAGGAGGAATACCGGCAGAAGGTCGGCTCGCTGCAGTTTGCGGCGACGACGACCAGGCCGGACATCGCTTTCGCCTGCAGCAAGCTGGGAAGCGGCCTCACGGTGAGGAGCGACCAGCATTGGTGCGAGGTCGGCCGCTGTCTCGCCTACCTTGCCGACACCCGCGACACTGCCCTGGAGTTTGGCGGTGGACCAGAATCGTTGGAGCTGATCGGCTACGTCGATGCCGAGGACGCGGGCGACAAGCAGAACCGGACAAGCACGGGAGGCTACGTGTTCGTCTACGGAGGGGCCGCAGTCTCCTGGTCGAGCTCGCGCATCAAGTGCGCGACATTGTCATCGACCGAGTCGGAGTACGTGGCGGCAACGGACGCCGGCAAGGAGGGGCGTCGACTTCACTTCCTCCTTGCGGAATTCAAGCTGCTCGACGCTGGGAAGCCGACCATCCTCCACGTCGACAACAAGTCGGCAATCACTGTTGCTAAGGGCTTGGGGCTGACGGGCAACCTCAAGCACATGGAGCGACGCTACGCTTAGCTGCAGCACATGGTGAGGCGCGGGAAATTTGTGCTGAACTACATCCCGGCCACCGAGCAGCCGGCGGACTTCCTGACGAAGGCGCTGCATTTTCCGGCTTTCAACCGGTGCTCTCTCGCCATCGGACAAGTTCGTCTGGTCGACGTCGGCGACGGCGACGACGAATTGCAGCAGTAGGTGTCGTGCCCTTCTGCACGGCTGGTGCGGTGACGGCGTGTTGTGTGAGGGGTGCACGCCGAGGACGAGTTCTCTCCGTGGAGTACTGCCGTGAGGGCTGGAGGCCCAAGCGTGAGCGCGGCAGGGGAGTGTTAACGGGAATGGAGTGTTGGCCCTGCCCTCGCTTGGGCAACGCCGACAACTTGGTCGGATGTACGGGAGTAGCAGCCGACCGCTCACAGTGGGATAGCTGCTCGACAGGTTACGACGAGCTGCAGCGGACCGCTGTGGTGTTGCTGTCGACCAGGATGCTCGACAGCTGCAACTGACTGGCCTGGGCGACGGGTGAGCCGTCCGGGAGGTCGACGAAGCAGTCCGTCGACCTACAGTTTGACGGGGAAGTCTATGGAGCATCCCGTCGAACTGCAACTCGACCGGGGAGGTCTATGGAGCATCCCGTCGAGCTGCAGCTCGACCGGGAGGTCAACGGAGCATCCCGACGAACTACAGTTCGACCGGGAGGTCGACGGAGCAATTCTGGTCGACGGAAGGGGTCCGTCGACCAAGGGGTAGCTTAACGGGAGGTGTGGTCGACCAAGAGCGCCCGGTGGTCGACCAGATGGACCCAGTGGTCGACGGGAGGCACCTGGGAGTCGACCAGAGCACCAGGGGTCGACCAGGTCGACCGGGTAACCTGCTCGACGAGTTCTGCGGAGGCACGCGAACGTCGTCGAGATCGAGATGGCGCAGGCGACTTCGGGCTGGTATCCCGAAGTCGATGTGGCTCGTCAGGCGCAGACAACAGCTGACGGATGCCCAACGAGGCAAGTCGGGCCAATCGTCTGCGCACACCTGCGAGCGCGCGCACTGCTGTGTTCTACAGGGCACGCCGTCGACCTGCTTTGTTGGCAGGTCGCCCTTCTGCAATGCTGGCGCGGCTCCTCTACGCAATGCTGGCAGGCGGTCGACCGAGCTGCGTTGGCGGTCGACCAGGCTAGCTGCAGGGTTGCTAGGTGCCTGATGTAGTCATTGTTGTCATTGCTTCTTGGATCATTTCTGGAATTCCAAATTTGCTAGTGAAAACTCTTGCCAAATTTTTCCGTGAATGTGCTAACACTAAGGAACCAAGCAAAGCTAAGAACACCTCTAGTAGTTCGTGCCAACCCCTGTAGTCTAGCTCACTACCGTTGTAGAGTTTATCTCCTCATGGGCCTGGTCCTCGGACCAAATGGAAACGTATGGGCCTGGTCCTCGGACCAAGTGCAAACGTATGGGCCTGGTCCTCGGACCAAGTGCAAACGTATAGGCCTGGTCCTCGGACCAAGTATAATCGTATGGGCCTGGTCCTCGGACCAAGTCGAAACGTATGGGCCTGGTCCTCAGACCAAGTGCAAAGGTATGGGCCTGGTCCTCGAACCAAGTGCAAACATATATGCCTGGTCCTCGGACCAAGTGCAAAACGTATGGGCCTGGTACTCGGACCAATTGCAAACGTACGGGCCTGGTCCTCGGACCAAGTGCAAACGTATGGGCCTGGTCCTCGGACCAAGTGCAAACGTATAGGCCTGGTCCTCGGACTCGGACCAAGTATAAACGTATGGGCCAGGTCATCGGACCAAGTGCAAACGTATGGGCCTGATCCTCGGACCAATTGCAAACGTATGGACCTGGTCCTCGGACCAAGTGCAAACGTATGGGCCTGGTCCTCGGACCAAGTGCAAACGTATAGGCCTGGTCCTCGGACCAAGTACAATCGTATGGGCCTGGTCCTCAGACCAAGTCGAAACGTATGGGCCTGGTCCTCGGACCAAGTGCGAAGGTATGGGCCTGGTCCTCGGACCAAGTGCAAACATATATGCCTGGTCCTCGGACCAAGTGCAAACGTATGGGCCTGGTCCTCGGACGAAGTGCAAACGTATGGGCCTGGTCCTCGGACCAAGTGCAAACGTATCGGCCTTGTCCTAGGACCAAGTGCAAACGTATGGGCCTGGTCTTCGGACCAAGTGCAAACGTATGGGCCTGGTCCTCTGACCAAGTGCAAACGTATATGCCTGGTCCTCGGACCAAGTGCAAACGTATGGGCCTGGTCCTCGGACCAAATGGAAACGTATGGGCCTGGTCCTCAGACCAAGTGCAAACGTATGGGCCTGGTCCTCGGACCAAGTGCAAACGTATAGGCCTGGTCCTCGGACCAAGTACAATCGTATGGGCCTGGTCCTCGGACCAAGTCGAAATGTATGGGCCTGGTCCTCGGACCAAGTGCGAAGGTATGGGCCTGGTCCTCGGACCAAGTGCAAACATATATGCCTGGTCCTCGGACCAAGTGCAAACGTATGGGCCTGGTCCTCGGACCAATTGCAAACGTATGGGCCTGGTCCTCGGACCAAGTGCAAACGTATGGGCCCGGTCCTCGGACCAAGTGCAAACGTATAGGCCTGGTCCTCGGACTCGGACCAAGTATAAACGTATGGGCCAGGTCATCGGACCAAGTGCAAACGTATGGGCCTGGTCCTCGGACCAATTGCAAACGTATGGGCCTGGTCCTCGGACCAAGTGCAAACGTATGAGCCTGGTCCTCGGACCAAGTGCAAACGTATAGGCCTGGTCCTCGGACCAAGTACAATCGTATGGGCCTGGTCCTCGGACCAAGTCGAAACGTATGGGCTTGGTCCTCGGACCAAGTGCGAAGGTATGGGCCTGGTCCTCGGACCAAGTGCAAACATATATGCCTGGTCCTCGGACCAAGTGCAAACGTATGGGCCTGGTCCTCGGACCAAGTGCAAACGTATGGGCCTTGTCCTAGGACCAAGTGCAAACGTATGGGCCTGGTCCTCGGACCAAGTGCAAACGTATGGGCCTTGTCCTAGGACCAAGTGCAAACGTATGGGCCAGGTCATCGGACCAAGTGCAAACGTATGGGCCTGGTCCTCGGACCAAATGGAAACGTATGGGCCTGGTCCTCGGACCAAGTACAAACGTCCATGCAAGCCTGCAGATCCGTGCACGCATGCAGATCCGTGCACGCATGCAGATCCGTGCACGCCTGCAGATCCGTGCACGCATGCAGATCCGTGCACGCCTGCAGATTTGATGGACCAATGAATTTGAAACTCTTAAAGCCGCGGCCTACATACTTCGAGTGGGAGGGCTGAGATTATCACTTGAAAACAGGGTGACTAGTTTTTGGACTCGGCCCCCTTTTCTGCAAAGCTAACGGTTGAGAGGGATGGAGAGAGGAGGTTGGGGTTCTTTCCGCACGATACCAAACTCCCCAGGTTGTTTCCCGCCCTTCCGCAGAGCCTCCTCCAAACCACCTGTCAGCACGAAACTGGGCTGGATTCGCTTCTCCTGTCTGAGTTCGCCTGCTGCGGTGTTTCTGAAACATGCTGACTTCGTTCTCCAATCAGAACGCACGAAAGGGTGGGCATAAAAAATACACTCAAGAAACACCACTTGGTATGTAGACCGCAGCTTTAAGCACGCATGTGCATTCTCATTCTCCACGATAGGTTTGAATGTGCATCTCGTAGTGTGATAAGAAACTCACCGATCTGCAGCGCAGATCGCGCTGCTGCATCGGAGTCGTCCATCTTTGATCTCGCAGTCCTCTTGCAGAAAGTTGGTTAAAAACTCCTACTAAGTCGTCTCCGATTGGCGGAATGCGACGGATCCGTGTGTTACTGCGTGTGCTATGGTCTTCGAAAATTTGTTGAAAGGAAGCATGACCCTTGGAAAAGAGGAGAATCTGAGAAAGCCGGCTTACTCTCGCGTGGTATGCTAACTTTGAGACGAGAATGCTGAGAATGTGTTGTGTGCTGTGGCGTGGTGCAAGCTTGCTTGCGAGTCGGCATGCTAGTTCCAAGGGAGGTCCACATCGTAAATCGATGCGAACCAATCAAGTTGAGTCTAATAGAGAGAGCTAATCCGGAGAGGGGAGCGCGCGTTGAGCTGGCGTTCTGGTGTGAGGATGAGCCAGGATGGACTTAAAACCGCCGCGATCCGATTAGTTTCTCACACCGCTCTTCTCGTCCCTCTCTCACGCTCTCATTCAGCGCGAAATCACAGACAAGGCGCGGGCGAGGGACGGACAGACGAGGCAAAAGTCAAGATACGGAAAGCAAGATCTTCGCGACTGTAATTTGCTGTGCGCGCGGTGCGCGCGAAAGTGCGCGTGGAGGAGCGCGCGGCGCTGCCCTTCGCTGCGACGAAGGGCGCACGGTCGTCAGGTGAGGTGGACGAGGGAGGAGGGACGGGCACGGTGGGGAGGGGGAAGGTGGTGAGGGGAAGGTGGGGAGGGGGAAGGTGGGGAGGCGAAGGTCGCGGCGCTGCCCTTCCCCGCGACGAACGATGCGCCGGTGCCAGGTGAGGTGGACGAGGGGGGTGCGGGGAGGGGAGGGTGAGGTGGGGAGGGGGGAGGTGGTGGGTGGAGGGCGCAGTGGGGAGGGGGAGGTGGTGGGGGGAGGGCGCAGTGGGGAGAAGGGAAGGTGGGAGGGGAGGGCGCAGTGGGGAAGGTGGAGGGTCGGGGAGCGGAGGGCGCAGTGAGGACGGGGGAGGGTGGGGAGGGGAAGGCGCAGTGGGGAAGGGGGAAGGTCGCGGCGCTGCCCGTTGCCGCGTCAGACGTGGGTGCATGTTTGCCCTCGCTCCCACATCTCTCCGCTTTTCCGCTTCTCGCCCCCACATCACTCCCTCTTCTCCTTCCCGCGAACCCCTCCCCACCTCTCCGTCACCTTCCCCCCTTCCCCTCCACCACACCTCTCTGCCCGCCTCTTTCGTGCCCACTTCCCCAAGCCTGCCTCCCCCTCCATCCGTCCTACCCGCCACCCTTCACCTCCCTCTCCCCCATTGCCCAACCCCTTCTGGGCCTGGCCATAACGGCAGCTGCCGCGCGCACCTCGGGGAGAGAGAGGGGCCAAGCTGAGGTGCTGCGCGGAGATAGAAGCACAGCGGGCAGCGCTGCCAGTGGTGGCGGGGGAGGGTGAAGGGGTGGAGGCCGCGGGGAGCAGCAGTGCTGTGTGCGGCGAGACGGGGTCGGGAAAACAATCAGTATCAAAGAAGTTCCGCAGGTGCTGTGGTGTGGGGGAAAGGGCAGGTGTGCGTGGTGTGGGGGAAAGGGCAGGTGTGCGTGGTGTGGGGGAAAGGGCAGGTGCGTGTGGTGTGGGGGAAAGGGCAGGTGTGCGTGGTGTGGGGAAGGGCCAGGTGAGTGCGGTGGGGTGGGAGAGGTACATGGAGGCCAGCCCTGCCAGCCTTGTGTGCGGCGAGACGGGGTCGGGCAAGTCCATGCAAGTGCCACTGAGACACTTGGCATGGTGTTACCGTATCATCATGCCATGAGATTTTAACATGCAGATTTACATGCGTGAACTGTAATTCATGCAATTCATCATAGCATCATGTGCTGCAGCTCACAGCAATTGTTTCACATTATATACATGAGCAGTTAGCGTATCCTTTTATGTCATTTTCATTCAATTTAGCATGACTCAATATGACATCCAACGCTTCGCCCTTCCCTCCTTCTCCTCACCTTCTTCCCTTCCCCCCCCCCCCCCCCCCCCCCTTTTCCCCCCCAATTCAGGTGCTTGGGACTGTTTCAGCACTCACGGGCCTCGAGCTTTGGGAGCTTGACAAAAGGCTCGCTAAGCTGAAGAGACCGGGCTGGACAAGGGTTGGCTTGTCATCATACAGCTAACCTGTTGCTCAAATACTGCTGGTACTGGTTGCTCAACTAACCTGAATCTGTTTCCCGTGCATGATCTCTCGCTTGCTGTCATTCTCGGGCCATCTCAAGCCCCGGCCACATTTTGAGGCGCCTCAAAAGTCATCTCAAGCCCCGGCCACATTTTGAGGCGCCTCAAAAGTCATCTCAAGCCCGGCCACATTTTGAGGCGCCTCAAAAGTCATCTCAAGCCCCGGCCACATTTTGAGGCGCCTCAAACGTCATCTCAAGCCCCGGCCACATTTTGAGGCGCCTCAAACGTCATCTCAAGCCCCGGCCACAGTTTGAGGCGCCTCAAACGTCATCTCAAGCCCCGGCCACATTTGAGGCGCCTCAAACGTCATCTCAAGCCCCGGCCACATTTTGAGGCGCCTCAAACGTCATCTCTAGCCCCCGGCCACCATTTTGAGGCGCCTCAAACGTCATCTCAAGCCCCGGCCACATTTTGAGGCGCCTCAAACGTCATCTCAAGCCCCGGCCACATTTTGAGGCGCCTCAAACGTCATCTCAAGCCCCGGCCACATTTTGAGGCGCCTCAAACGTCATCTCAAGCCCCGACAGATCAATCAGGCCACATTTTCGCGCCTCAAACGTTCACATGCGACGGATGCAATAGGCATTCCGCGCTCCGTTCACATGCGATCGGATGCAATAGGCATGCGCCTCCGTCACATGCGAGCGGATGCAATAGGCATGCCGCGCTCCGTTCACATGCGACGGATGCAATAGGCATGCCGCGCTCCGTTCACATGCGACGATGCAATAGGCATGCGCGCTCCGTTCACATGCGACGGATGCAATAGGCATGCCGCGCTCCGTTCACATGCGACGGATGCAATAGGCATGCCGCGCTCCGTTCACATGCGACGGATGCAATAGGCATGCCGCGCTCCGTTCACATGCGACGGATGCAATAGGCATGCCGCGCTCCGTTCACATGCGACGGATGCAATAGGCATGCCGCGCTCCGTTCACATGCGACGGATGCAATAGGCATGCCGCGCTCCGTTCACATGCGACGGATGCAATAGGCATGCCGCGCTCCGTTCACATGCGACGGATGCAATAGGCATGCCGCGCTCCGTTCACATGCGACGGATGCAATAGGCATGCCGCGCTCCGTTCACAAACATGCGACGGATGCGATAGGCATGCCGCGCTCCGTTCACATGCGACGGATGCAATAGGCATGCCGCGCTCCGTTCACATGCGACGGATGCATAGGCATGCCGCGCTCCGTTCACAACTCCAACAGTCGTGGCAGCTGCCCTGCCGCTTCTGGTCAATTGCAGTGGTGTCAACCAAATGCTCTGTGATATGGTACCTTCCAGATAAGGTCATGTGCACACAACACAGGTGGTTGGCAGGCAACGCAATAGCTATGGCCATTAGCTTTGGAGGATTAGCTGGACATGTGTATTCCTTAGCTACAACTGTACGCGCTGCAAAGTCACACTTGGAGTATGTTAGTCAGCTGAGCCAACTCGTACGGCACCGGTACCGTAGCCTGAACTTGTTGCAGTGACGCACCTCTCTTTGACTCTGGTACATTTTGATCATCTAAGAATGCTTCCAGCATTCCAGTCCAAGGTTCTCACACTTGCTACAGACAAATTATGACTTGAACAATACGGTATATTCAGCTAAACACTGCCTGTTCTCCATCAAGCAAAACCAAGTGGTGCGTGTCCCCTGTGTTTCTATGACCCTCTTGTCACCCCTATTGGGCCGTTATTATGACCTGCTGCCAGTATCACCCTTCGCAGTGTGAGGCTGAGGTGGTATGCACAGCACAGGTGTGAAGCGATTGAAAGGAGGTGTAACGCAATTGAGGGGGCGTGGGGCATCGAGCTAGACCAGCCAGTTTGGGCTCCCTTGTCACCACGGCCCTGATCTGGACCGTTGAAGTGCCCCGCTGCCAGCAGCACCCTTCACAGTGTGAGGCTGAGATGGTGTGCGTAGGTGTGAAGCGGTTGAAAGGAGGTGTGAGGCGGTTGAGAGGGTTGTGTGATGCGGTTGAGTGGGGGTGTAACGCAGTTGAGTGGGGTGTGATGCGGTTGAGAGGGTTTGTGGCGCATCGAGAGAGACCAGCCAGTTCGGGTGGTTCCCTCGTCACCAGGCCCTGACCCGAACCGTTGCAGTGCCTTGATGTCGGCACCTCCCTTCACAGTGTGAGGCTGAGACAGTGTGTCCAGGTTTGAAGCGGTTAAGGGGGGTGTTATGTGGTTGAGAGGGGGTGTCGCGCATCCAGCGAGACCAGGCAGCAAGGGTGGTCACCATGGCCCAGACCTGGACCGTTGCGGTGCCTTGCTGCCAGCACCACCCTTCCCCTGCTGCTGCTGCTGCTGCTGGCTGCTGCTGCTGCTGCTGCTGCTGCTGCTGCTGCTGCTGCTGCTGCTGCACCTGGCAAAGGAGTGTGAGGGTGAGATGTTGTGTGCAGGTGTGAAGCGGTTGAGAGGGGTTTGCCGGGAAATTGGACGGTCCGGCTGGTGGTGGTAGGAGACTGAGTGGCGTGCCTGCTGCCGCCGCTGCTGCTGCTGCTGCTGCTGCCGTTGCTGGCACTGCTGTTTGTGGTGCTGCAGATAGAGAAGTAGGCATGGCTGCTGGCTGCAGCGTTTGGGGAAATTGAGGGGAGCAAGACAGGTCCGAAGGGGAAAGAGGCGAGAAAACAAAAAAGATGGAGACAAGAAAGAAGTAATATCGATGGTCGACGGGGATACGAATCAAATCAAATCGAATGTGATGATGGGAACGAGAACTTGCCAGAAGCTGCGCTGCTGAGTGACAGCGACAGTAATGTCAACGTGATCGCACTCGCTCGAGCTGAGAAGGGGTGCGCACACCGTGCTTCGTTCACTCAATGCGCAATGTGCACTCACCATGCTAGGGTGCGCGTGGGTGTGGGACTGCAGCAGCAGCTGCTGAGCAATCACTGCATATTTCTTGACTCACCATTTGCGTGTGTGACTGTGACTGCAGCTGCAGCAGCTGGGAGCGCAGCTGTTCGTTCTCTTCCTTCAACTGTGCCACTCCGCCTCTAACTCTACTGTATACGCCTGAGGTGGGGAGGGGGAGGGCATGGGAAGAGATTATGTGGTTAAGCTCCTGGGCACCCTTCAGGCTCCACTGTGTACGCCTGAGGGGGGGGGGGGGGAGGAGAGGGGAAGGGCTGGGTGCGCAGCTGCTCGTTCTTTTCTTCAGCTGCGCCACTTCTGCCTCCAGCTCCACTGTATACGCCTGGAGGGTTGGAAAGTGGGGGCATGGGGAGAGAGGATCATGTGGCTAGGCTTCCGGGCACCTTCACATTCAGGCTCCACTGCGTATGCCTGAGGTGGGGTTAAGGAGAGGGGAAGGGCTGGGCGCGCAGCTGCGCCACCTCCGCCCCCGGCTCTACAGTGTACGCCTTAGGGGAAAGGGCAGGGGGGTGTGTGGCATGGGAAGGGCAGCACGTGGTTAGACTTGAACGTGTGTATGCCTGGGTTGGGGAGAGAGGGGGTGCACCAGAGGGGTGGGGCGGAGCACAGGAAGCGGTGCAGCATGGTGCAGCTTGGTGCAGCTTGGTGCAGCTTGGTGCAGCTTGGTGCAGCATGGTGTGAGGAGAGAGAGCACGAGCCATGTGCACGCAGACAGCCACACGTGACGGTGCCGTCCCCTGTGCCGTCCACCTGTGCCGTCCACCCTGTGCCGTCCACCCTTTGCCGTCCACCCTGTGCCGTCCACCCTGTGCCGTCCACCCTGTGCCGTCCACCCTGTGCGTCCACCCTGTGCCGCACAGCTTCTCCCTCCTCTCAAAGTATCACGGATCTTGACTCAGTGTGGCACAGCAGCAAAACAAGAAGATCTGGAAAACGCTTCTTCACCTCACCTCAACCCATCCCACCTCACCCCACCTCATCGCACCCCACCTGCTTCCTCGCCCGGGACCGAGCGGTCTGACTCTCTATTCTTGATCATCTGCTTCTGCCTCCTCTCAACGCTTCATGAGTTTCACTCACAGCGGAGGAGCAGCAGGCAATCACATAATGTTTTCTCACCGCACCTCA